TAAGAATCATTTTCCAACGGTGATCTGAAAATGAGTTTGGGCTGATTAAGTAGAGATTCATCAGATGCATATGGTAAGATTGTTATTGAGAAGTGAATAAAAGAGTTAATGATTTTTTTTTTAAGGCAAGAGCATTCAATGAAACGCCAATAAACACTCGAAAATGCAGTTTAATTCTAAGTAAACTGCTCTACCTGCGTCAACAAGGCGAAGCAATCGGACGTACCGAGGCAACTGAAGCATTCTTTGCGGTCACGAAGTTATGGCAAAGTAAAGATGCGAATTTGAGAAGATTGGTGTATCTGGCGATCAAAGAGATGAGCGATATCTCGGATGATGTGATTATTGTCACAAGCAGGTAATTGGACTGTTGAACTTTTGTGAATTGATCAGTGGGAATTGATTTGTTCTTGATCAGAACGAAGAGCAATCCGAGATATAACTAGCAGTTTTGATAATATGATTTTTTTAGTACAGAATGTATTTCAGTACAGCTATAGTTCAGCTTACTGTTAGTTTAATTTGAAATGGTCATAGCTGTCATGTCTAAGCCTCTCATTCCTATGCTATTCATAATGAATTTCGCTACTGGGATCTCCTTAAACTTCAGCGCGCATGCTGTTTGTAAAAGATTGTTCAAACGTTATATAAACAATGATTATGGTTTGATCGGTCCTTCTCGTAATCTGTACGGATCGATTGATTGAGAGGATTCTGAAATTTAAGTGGAGTTAATGGGAATCAATTGGTTTGTAATATTTCAGCTTGACGAAAGATATGACGGGTCGTGAGGATATGTATAGAGCGCCAGCGATTCGTGCTTTGTGTTACATTATTGACTCGAATATGCTGCAAGCAATAGAGAGATACATGAAGCAGGTGCATGCATTCGATTGATTGCGACATATTTCTTCATAGCAACTTATTCATTATCAATCATATGCGATCTGTTATATTTAAGAGTCATTCAACCAGCTTGACGTCACATAGCCATTGAAGATATCAGTTGTGTAAAATAATTATTTTCAGGCGATTGTTGACAAAAATCCATCAGTGTCATCGTCAGCATTGGTTTCCGCATTGCATCTTCTCAAAAAAAGTCCTGAAGTGGTGCGACGATGGGCAAATGAAGTACAAGAGGCTGTTTCTTCGGACAGGTTATTTCGATTCATAGTTTAGCAAACTTTGTGATTATTATGATCAGTTATTGATGTAATCACTAGTGTTTGTTGTTGTTTGAGTAATGATCAAATTAATAAGTCTACTTCGTACAGTTTTCGTGGTTTTATTATCAGT